TCATTGTTTCCCAGGATTGGATGGTGAGGCTCATCGACTTGGTTGCTGTCATTGTTTCCCAGGATTGGATGGTGAGGTTCATCGACTTGGTTGCTGTCATTGTTTCCCAGGATTGGATGGTGAGGCTCATCGACTTGGTTGCTGTCATTGTTTCCCAGGATTGGATGGTGAGGCTCATCGACTTGGTTGCTGTCATTGTTTCCCAACTGATGTTCATGATGAAGGAAAACAGAGTTCTAGGGATAGTCAACTGCTTTATTGCATTGAGTACGACGCTTCGATGTAAGTACGTTGCACTGATAACGGTATTAGTACCTACAACGAAACGTCGCACCCACTGCAATTAAGAAGTTGACTATCCCTAGAACTTGGTTTTCCTTCATCTTTTCAACTTCTAAAATGCCTCTCAAAGAACTGATGATCATGATGTCAATAACAATTTACTATAAAAATGTCTTATTTTCACTCAGAAAATATCACAAAATATGATAAACTTATTCCATTTGGTGTTTATTGTTTGTATACAATGGCTGTAAGGTTCAACTAGCACAAATCAAAGACCTGTGGATGACCAGCAATATGGCTGACTGACTGAGTTTGGTTTTACGCCGCTTTTAGCAATATTCCAGCAACATCACGGCGGGGGACACCAGAAATGGGCTTCACACATTGTACCCAGGTGGGGATTCGAACCCGGGTCTTCGGAGTGACGAGCCAACGCTTTAACCACTAGGCTACCCCACCGCCCCCACCAGCAATATGGTCTGTAGATGTACAGTAGAACTAATTACTGTTGCCACTGCAGTAGAATGTCTTAATAATTATGTGAAATGATGGCATTGAAAGGATTACAGTATGATGAACTTCTCAGATTTTAGATAGTAAAGCATTTGTTTACAATCGTGAATATTAAGTCTGGGTGCCTTGGTGCAAAGTGATCTTAGCAGTAAGATGACCGTAATTCCCAGGCCTTAACACAGACTTATGACAACCACAGGCTGCTTTGTGCAATAGCACCCTGGTCATGTGATATGCAAATTAGCTTACAATTATGTAAGTCATCACTAAGTCAGAATGTCCACAGTACAGTATAGCTGCTTTGGGAGAAGGGAGGTAACTCCAACCAAAACCACATCTGTATGGAGCTCTCTGGAACATCTTGCAAATTGTTATCTTCTAACTAACTGACTGACTGAGTTTGGTTTTACGCCGCTTTTAGCAATATTCCAACAACATCATGATGGGGGACACCAGAAATGGGCTTCACACATTGTACCCATGTGGGGATTCGAACCCGCGTCTTCGGCGTGACGAGCCAACGCTTTAACCAGTAGGCTACCCCACCGCCCCTGTCATCTTCTAAACACAGTCACCCTTGTAAACATTTAAAACACAGAGAAATATATGTGGCAATTCACACAAAATGATGAAGTGTTAGATCTGTGACTTACAATCTTACGGAGTCATGAATATCAGCCTGTATTGTTAAAGCTGAAACTACCGTTTTTCAACAGAAAAATTAACCATGATGCCCTACAACAATTCCTCTCCTCGTAACAACATACAAATTAAATGAATCTGGGCATGAGTTAGATTTTACTCTCTCTACAAGACTCACTTTCTACTGACTGTCATTTATTATAAGAAAAAAGGTGGACTTCTGAAAGAAATACCTCTTGCTGATTATTACTTGCACTACAGTGACGTATAAAACCAAAACGACCTGAATGTCCGGGATCTGTTGCACAACTATTAACCCAAATATTAAAGTTTTAACTTTATATATCCTCAATCGCAGAGCACGCAACACCTTTGTCATTGGACACTGTTTTAACCACTGTTTCAACAACAGCAAATGATTTTGCCCATCAGAGAAAAGATTAGATGCTGCAAATTCATGGACCCTGTAATATTCACATCACCAAACTAAATTTGAATGACTTGGAAGTGATTTTGAGCTCAAAGTCAGCACAAACTTCATAGTACATTCCTCTAAGACTGAGTAAATAACAGAAACTTATGACAATTTTCTGATGGCAATATAACACCAAAAATGATGACAGAAGCAGTAACATTATTACTAAAACAACAATAATAATAATTGTAATCAGTGCTACAAAGCTCACAACAGAACATACAAACTTAAGCCACAAAAAATCTCACAGATTTCAAATTAAAAAAAAATTTCACTGCCTGACTACATCAATGTGATATATTTTCTATTAACCAATGGGTTCATAACTTGTATAAATAAGTTTTAATGCTCATGCTTTTCAAGTTTTTCACTTTCTATAATGGTTCTCTTTCACTGAGAAAATATACTAAAACATGTAACACTATTTTGAATAGCATAGCTATCCTATATCACTGTCTTAGTCGAAAAAATAATATCTATAAAACTAGAGGTGGGTATTGCAGAGAATTTTCATATTGCGATATATTGCGATGCGAAAGCATATATGTTGTGTGTATTGCAATATATTGCAAGAAGTATTTTTAAACCAAAACATACTTATAATCGAGTTAAAGCTTGCTTTACAGAGCAAAAACACAACAAAATAACTATGCTTGATTAAGCTTTAACAACAACCTTTAATCACGACAAAATAGAACTGTAAATAATATTTGGCACAAATAAAACAAGGAAATATCCGAAGATTTCCGAGTGTTACGAAATTTTCCGAATCCAAGTCAAAATACCGGTTTTTGATCAGCGTATCGCAATACGTATCGTTTTCATGTCTGAACCGGTAAATATCGGTTAACTGGTTATACTGCGCAGCCCTAAATAAAACTAAGCAAACAATATGAACTGCACCAAAAGCATGTATTAGTGCAATCGCTTCTGATTTAAGAATAAACATGTTTGTTTACAAACAAGAGAGTAGACCAAACACATGATATGCAAATTAGACTGTGGCAGTGATTTTATCACTTATGGTGGAATGTGCCAAAACAAATTACAACCAAAACCTACAGTACCACCAAGACAGGAATCAAACTGGTGGGGAAACTACACTGAACACATCATAAATAAGTGAGGTAGTTCACGAACAACATCACAACCACCACCACCCCCCAACCCCCCAACACATCGCACCATGCTGATGCTTCAGACTGCATACCCCACAATCTCAGCCAGCGTGAGCACATGTGCAGTCCATGTGGATGGAGATACAGGAGGGCAGCATGTACCTCACCCCTACACCTGCATTGACCCCCACCCACAGAATACATAGTGTTTGAAGCCCCACCCACAGAATATGTAGAGTCTAGAGCCCCACCCACAGAATATGTGGAGTCTGGAGCCCTACCCACAGAATATATAGTCTGGAACCCCACCCACACCAAGACGCACACAGCTTTGTATGATGGATGCCCTTTGCTTCCAGTCAGCATTCCTTGCTTCTGGATCAATAAGCTATGGAAATGTCAGCTATTACTGCATGTGGCAGGGATGTACACGTTGTTTCCTGCTTCCCTCGTACAATGACTTCTGCTTCTTCAACTGCACCTTCAACCATACCTTAAACCATACCATGTGCCTTTAACCTTGCCCCTTCAACCTTCCCTTGATTGTCAACTGAGTAAATTGAAACACTCGTAAAAGCACAACTTCAGATTTATTGCTTGTACATACAGAGTTACTCCCCTTTGATCATACAGCACCAATATCCAATCAAGACACATATTCAGTTTCCAAGACTCATATTAATTCAAAAACCAAATATTTCTTTCACAAATCATGCAGTTTTGTTATGTTTCTGGGTTTGTTTTGGGTTGTTTGTTTTTTATTTGTTTGGGAGGGGTTGTGTCAACAGACTGACCACCAATAATGTTTCTTGTGACTGTTTATTCACATTATCTTCAGTAGTGTGTTGTCAAACACACAAGAAAGGTTGCTTGTCCAAAGTATTTTATTGTTTAATACCACACGCAGCAATTTCCCAGCTATCTGGCGGCCCTCTGCAAATAATCAAATCTGGACCAAACACTCCAGTGATTAACAACATAAGCATCGATCTAGGCAATTGGGGTACGATGACATGCAGATCAATCAAATCAATAAGTCTGACCAACTGATCTGACTGGATCTTACACTTAGCATGGGTTGCTGGAGAATAATTCTCACCTGATCTTTACAGGTGTAGGCAAAAGAAGTCAAAATTATCTTCAACCTTGTCAGAGTCAATATTTCATCTCAACATGATAAGAGTCATGTATAATCACAATATCCACACTTCTTATCAGTACATAGTTGATACATATTTCAGTTTCCTGAATGAACAAATGAAGTATTTGATGTATTCACAGAACATCATACTTCAAATGTTTACAGGTTCTTCAGCAGGACAAGGATCAACAACAAGATCAGAAACGTGAATCCTCAAAATGTGTGTGTTTGAGTGAAACTGCATATCCAAGAGCGATTCCAGGCAGGGGACTTCGTAAGAAGGATGAAGACTGCCTGATCAAAGAGGCTCAGCTCCAGAAGGTCCTTAGCCCATCATCATGCAAAGTCCCTAATCAACAAGTATTTGAATCCATGTCTCACCATTATTATACAGAGAGTGGTCCTGGGCATACAACTTTATGGCAATGGCATGACACATTGTAAAATAATCATGAGATGACGAAAATAATAGAAATTAATACACAACGTCCATTTGGACCAAATGTCAAGTGCAGTATCTTGTAAAACAATCTGCTGCATTATCTAATATGCTAGCAACACAATAGGACACAAAGGATGAATGAATGACAGCTGTTATATTTTCAACTGATTCAGCATATTTTGTCTTCCAAAATATTCAGATGATGAAATGAAAGTTTGTTCGTTGTTGTTTGTTTTATCCTGAAAATTGACATAATTCTACCTTAAAAACACTTACAACCATGCATGAAGTCCTGATATGAACTAAATGAGCACTGAACTGAAAGTCAATAGTGAGTTTGTGGGGTTTCACAACAGCTTGAAAATCTAGAGTTATCTCCCTTACCTCATCACTCTCTTCCTCCTCTCTCGCCCTCTCCACAGCTCTCATCAGCAGCTTGCGACACTGCACATCGTCAATGTTGTAGTACTCCTGTAGATCATCAGCAGACAGCAGTCTGGAAAGTAATAAAAACGAGTTATTGTAACAATATGTTTTTTCCACAAATATTTACAAAAATCAACCCATACCTAACTGAATCCTCACATCCTTTTGAAGTTTCTCAGTGTTCTAGATCTTTTCTGCAAACACTCAGGATTTGAATCAATTTCAGTCGGCAGCTATAAAAACTTAGGAATGATTTGTGACATTCCCTTGTGCAATAGTATTTTTACCACTGAAAAATTACCAGTGAACAAATATTTTCAAACCCTGTAAGGTGATGTTATTACCATGAAAATACTAACAGATAGCTGTTGACATGGCTGTTAAGATGTCTGTATACCATAATGATTGTCTGTGGAACTGAGTATTCAGCTAACCAATTTCACTAATAAACATACGTACAGGCTCACATTTCTAATCTCTACAAGACAGACACTCAAAACGCTGGAGGCATCATGAATAGGAGCCTCAATGGCAGGAAACCCTCACAGGAAGTATACATAGACAATGCTATGTGGTCAGATTTGAGTTAAGTTTCACGCTGCTTTTAGCAATATTCCAGCAATATCGCGGTGGGGGGCATCAGAAATGGGCTTCACACAATGTACAATGTGGGGAATCAAACCCGGGGTCTTCAGCCTGACGAGCAAACGCTTTACCTATTAGGCTACCCCACTGCCCCTTTTGCTATTATAAGCGACCTCAACTGTTCATCAGTATTGTTACTCTTAATTCTCTATAGTGAACCTTTTCATCAGTTTCACCAATGAGTTGCATAGCAACATGCATTATTCAATAAACTTTTGAGGCAAGAACCAGTTTTAATAGCAGCAGGCATTTTCCTTCTGACACAGGTGAAGGCAACTTGTTAATTATGGCTTGTGAAAAAGTTGCATGTTTGACAAGCAATTGATGGTGCATAACTGGAACATCCTTCACCTATGAAAATAACCTGTCAAGATTTTAAAAAATCAAATGTGACACATAAAGAGAGACACACAGTTGACAATATTACAACAAAAGGACACATTGTCTTCCATCTGTGGTTGTGGCACCAGACCAAATGGCTCCTTGGAAACACTGAATGGAGACCAAAGGCAAGGAAAGGTGTTAATAAAATTATTAAATTTAACGTCCAGTTCAAGATCATTGCACTTATGATGTTGCTGCTTATGATGGTGATAATGATGACGAAGATGGTGATAACAATGATGATGACGACGACGATAATGATGATGATGATGATATGATGATGATGATGGTGGTGGTGGTTTTATCCCCTTAATGCCAATGCCTGACAGAAAACAACCACCACCGTCTTTTAACATCATTTGGTATGACGAGGCCAGGGATCAATCCACCGACCATCTGCTCTCCAGGCAGGCCCTCTGTCCAGAAGACCAAAGAGGCGCTCCCATCTCCCTCAAGAAGCAGCAACACAGGAAAGTATGAAAGCATTTGCTGTTGACAGCTTCAGCTCAAATCAATACGAATCTCTGTGCAGACAGAGGGCTCAATGAGAACATTCACAGGCCAGACTATCAACCATGGGGACTTGAAATTGACTGATTTACCCAAAACAATTTCAGAGGAAGGTCACTCAAGGACAAATAGCATTCCTCAACCTCTGAGAAACAGTTTTGGCACGAGAATGAACATACACAGTAGGGTATATTTACTGTGCATACTTCAGAGATTTGTAGATAAAGATTTCAGGGAAAAGAACATGAGAACACTCAGGTCTCTATAATGTCACAACACCTCGACTTCTGGAAAATACCAATTTCAGGCATTCAGTATGCCAAGGCATCTGAAAGCAGATCTAAATGCAGAATGCAGTTGAGCCATCTAAATGCCTATTTCCCACATTATTGAATAACAATTTGTATGACAATGCTATTACTTCACAAAAGTATTCTGATAACATTTCAAAATCGGCCTATTTGCATGTGTTGAAACAAACAGCTGTTGCGAACAACAAAATGTCATTTCAAATTAATAACTTTAAAAAAACATTAAAATAACAACTCACATTGCCATAATCACACAATGGATGTATCTGACTAAAACTATCACAAGGCATGAATGATACCCAGCAGAAAATGGGTACCCGGTGGGACAAGGCATGTGACTATTCACCTTCTAGTGCCTCACAAGCAGCTTAGGTTATCCTGGGTAATAATAATCAGATTGTAGCGCTTTGAGCGTGCTCCTCCGTGGTGTGGACTTCAGTGCATTACAAATGTCCCTATTATTATTATTACTATTATTAAGGAACAATGACTGCTCCCAGCCATTCCCTTAAATGAAGCGCTAGCAGTGTAAAGAAAAATACATTATGATTGATACTCATTTTTTTACATCAAGGTAACATCCCTTTCAACTTGACAGCCTTACGTCACATCTCATTCATTTATCAGGGCCCACCTTTGACCTTAGAACACTGAGTCATTCATTAAAGTGTGAATAAGTAAGTGCACTTCCATTATCCTTCCCCTGCTGAGAGCACGGAGATGAATGTGTGGTTGCCCAGGTGTTTCACACAGTACAGGTCATCTTGCCTTTCAGCAAAGCAGTCAATCCCTCCCATATAAAACAAAATAACATCCCATAATACCGCTTAACACATGTGGTCAGGAATCTTAGGAGAGGTTTGATGGACTTTCTTCAGGGATTTAAGGAAATGAAACCTATCTGCCCCGATAGACAATAACCTTGTTGTACCAGACAAAAACAGGCTCAGTGCTCAATATAAAATTATCTTTTGGTATAAAGTCATTTGATCTTCCTACATAAATTTTCAAGACATGAAAAGTTATCTGAGTCACTGCTCTAAACCATTTCCTCCTCATTCTGTTTTACTGCTGAAGTCTGTGTTCTTTAAGCAGCAAAATATTAACATACACTGGAGGCAAGTTGGTATAAATATGAGGCTGAAGTTTGCATTTTCAGACTACCCTAGAGCTAGAGCTAGTTCAAAGTTTTTAAATCCAACCCTGTCTTGGTACTTTTATGACCAACTAAAATGTTTCACAAACTTGTGTTTAAAAAAACCAGATTAACTTCAGGCCATATGTTTTACAATACACTGACTTTATAAAACCATAAAACACTTCACTATATTCCGCAAATAACAATAAAACAAGGCCACCTCCTCGGCATTTCCAGAAGTCAAATGACAGGTTGTAATATATAGCTTGACTATTGCGAGGCATCTGAAGACAATAGACTGAACTGACTCACAGTGGTGGTCAGTCTTGTAGTACATAAACAACATGGCCTATCCACTGTCTGAAGCCTGAATCTAGGTAATGGATATTTTATGCAGTGGATGTCGATGATGAGTGAGTTTAGTTTTATGCCGCTTTTAGCAATATTCCAGCAATATCACAGCGGGGGACTCCAGAAATGGGCTTCACACATTGTACCAATGTGGGGAATTGAACCCGGCTCTTCAGCGTGACGAGGGAACGCTTTAACCACTAGGCTACCCCACCACCCCCTTGATGATGATGATGATCTAAGAAACCTTCAGGAACCTTTTTTCTGTAATATATGATTATTTCAGAGACTAGATGATAGTCTAAAAGAAGCAGCTATGTTAAAAGATATATTAAACATATGCAAAAGGATATAGTTAACACCTATTGATTTCAACTCACACCACTTTGATTTTCTACAACGTTTTTTCAGTAGTGAAACAAATGCTGTCATTATGTGGCTATCAATCAAGGCTTGACTTAAACCAGTGTCAAACATTCTTATAGATACATTGTACTACGGACAACCTACAACCACAATCAGCCAGGTGAGAATAGCTCTGTTGTTGGTCTGCTCCCTGTTTACCAGTCAGTCCTGACTGTTGAAATGAATTCCAGCCATAAAACTGATATTAAACTGAGCAATGTGAAATGTAAATAGGGTAACTATCAACTGTAAGGTTCATTTAAAAAGGACATTTCGAGTGAGAAGACAGACCTGCCCCTGACGTCAGGTTAAACTGGAATATACTGAGAGAGAGAGAGAGAGAGAGAGAGAGAGAGAGAGAGAGAGAGAGAGAGAGAGAGAGAGAGAGAGAGAGAGAGAGAGAGAGAGAGAGAGAGAGAGAGAGAGGGGAGAGAGGGACAGGAGAGGAGAGAGAAATTAAGAGGGTTTGAATCAGGACAAACACAGCTTCCTAAAAGACCATCTTTTTGTAGTACAAGAATTAGAGGTGGTGATGTTCATGTTTGACATTTTCTTCTTTGAATAACGACATGATGCATACAAACTTAAACAAAAAAGAAAATCTGAGATTCCTAGGTTTCTGGGACACCACAGGGATGCAGGGATGTGACTGGGCCACCTTGTTGCAGATCTTACTCTGGGATCAGGAGTAAACAGGAGCCTAATAATAAACAGACATCCATAATTTCTACCTGAAATCCAACTTAATTCAAACCAACCTGCGTGAACCTGCATCCGTGTTTTCAGGCACAGTGGTTGCGATAATCCATAGGAGAGGAAGTACAATACGAATGGTTGATTCTTCTGTCGCATGTCCTTACCAAATTAACATGACAACAACAGGCTAGAAAAACAGCATCGTTACTGCAGCAATCAATATTTCAGTGTGAGCGATTACTAAACATGCCACATCAGCAAGATTTCACCAGGATGTAAATATTGCTGATGCAATGAAGGCTATCCCGTATGGGAGACAAGCAGTAACAACTCAATTCTACACAGCGAGTGAGTGGGTTTGGTTTTACGCCGCTTTTAGCAATATTCCAGCAATATCACGCCGGGAGACACCAGAAATGGGTATCAAACATTGTACCAATGTGGGGAATCTAACCCATGTCTTTGGCATGACGAGCGAACGCTTTACCACTAGGCTACCCCACTGCCCCAATTCTACACCGAATACATAGGACTTTAAAGATGCACAGCACATGGCTGTCAATTTTCTCAACACTTGTCAGTCTTGAAATATTATTTCCTTCAGCATCCTATTCAAGACTATTAATATTA